CAGCCTGTGAGAGGCTCTGGGTTCCAACCTCAGCACAACAAAACAAAAACAAAAACAACCCATTTAAGGTATTTGGCTGAAATAGTGGTGTGAGGAGTGCATTTTCAAGTCATCCAGTATTTTTCCTGGTTTGAAGCTTCCGTTCTTAAGATGAGAAAAGGAACAAGGAACAGAAGACATTTTCAGTTGTAGTTGTCATGTTTTGAAGAGGAAGCAGTTTCTGAAAGGACATAAAACTCAGCCGAAGGAGGACGGATTTTACTTGCTTGCAAGTAAGCAAGCAAGTGAGGAAAGCAAAAGAGTGAAGGCAGAACAATACTTATTTATGGCCCTGGGTTCTATCCCCAGTACCATGTTAAAAAAAAAAAAAAAGTAATATTTATTTATGGCATCTGTTGCTGAAGAATCAAGATTTGATTGGAGAGGTGTACTACAAGGAGAGACAATTTTGTGGAGGTATAAGGAAAATATAAATATTATATCTCATCATTATTATTTGCATCAGGATGAAATTTATTTTAAAGAAGAGGAATCACTAGTTTGTTTTTAATGTAATACCCTATTTGTGTTAAGAATTTCTAAAGGGAATGATAAGTGGCTATCCCAGGGCTTCAGAAATGACAGACTTCAGAGAGAGAAATGAAACAAAACAAAAATGATGAATTTTGGATGTGTAGCCACCAGAGGGTAGAAAGGAGTAAAAATATTTTGTTTTTATTTGTACAAATAGCTAGTGGTTTGTTTTTTTTTTTGGGGGGGGGAGTTGATGATTTTCATTTCTTCTTGACATTTGTAATTTTAAGTCTATTTTAGAACTAGAATTGTCATTACATAATATTGTGCTGTATATTGATAATTAAATTTTTTTTTTTTTTTTTGGTTTTGGGAATCAAACCCAGGGCTTTGTACACACTAAGCATGCACTCTACCACAGAGCTATCTGCCCTCCCTGCCCTTGGGGCCCATTTCTTTTGTAAATACCCACCACTCCCCCTCAGTTCTTTCCTAATCTTTCATCATTTTATTGTATCTTATTTTTCTGTCTTTGTATGTGATGATGGTTGTGGGTGGGGAAGTTAAACTTTTGAGATTTTTAAGACTGAGCATTGAAGCCTGGCATAGTGGCAAATGTCTATTAATCCTAGAGACTCCAGAGACTGAGGAAGGACGACTGCAAAATCGAGGCCAGCCTTAGCAACTTAGTGAGGTCCTAAGCAACTTAGAGAGACCCTGTTTCAAAATGAAAAATAAAAGGGCTTAGGGATGTAGCATCATGGTAAAGCACTCCTGGTTTCAATCCCAATACCTAAAACAAAAGAAGAGCACTGAATATAATGTTCCATGTGTATAAACAAAAGAGAAACAGAAAGAAAAAAACAAACAAAAAACAGCTCTTGTGTCAAAAACATATTTTCAAGCCATTAATTTCTCTCCATTTTTATGGTATTCTAATATAAATCCCTGTTACTGTAACTTGACAGATATAATTGCCTTCAAACTAATCTTGCTTTTACACTTGCTTCCTCTTTAATTAATTTGTTGTATAAGTCCATTTACAAGATCTTTTCAAAATGGGATTTAGATCACGTCCTTCTATTTAATCACCCCACAGTCAAGCTTTCCTCTAAGAATAAAAACCCAAACTCCTTTCTCCGACCCACATAACCCTTCGTATTCTGATTTTCAACCTCTCCCTCCATCCTTATTTCCAGCACCTTCTGTTGGGTCCAGTATGTTTCAGCCCACACCTTGCGGCTTTGGTATTAAGAATAAAGACTGCCTGTACCTTCTCAGAGCTGGCTGCTTCTTGCTAATTAGATTTCAACTTAAGTATCACCTTTCCAGAGTTTGTTTCTGACATCCAATCTAGAGCATGCTACAAGTTACTTTTATCAATCTGTTTTAAATGTACATAGTGCTGCATCTAACATTATCTTATTAGATAAATAAATAAATAAGATAATCTTTTGGTGCTGGGGATTGATCCCAGGGCCTTAAGCATTGCTAAGCATGCACTTTACCACTGAGCTACATCCCCAGCCCTTACCTTATTAATCTTTTTTATCTTTAGAAAGTAAGCTTTATGGGAATAGGAAACTTGTCCTTCTTATCTTACGTTTCAGAAGAGTGCCTGACTCACTGTAGGTATTCAGATTAACCCAAGTAGAACTAGTCTATTTTCAATAAACTGAGCATAAATAACTTTATCTACTAGTATTAGTGATTGTGATGCTTTATTTGGAGATAGCTGTTTTAGATAAATTTAAATTTTAACATCTTTTTCACCATTGAGTTTTTTTATTTATATAATTCTATTTTTAATGTTTTCCACAAACATTCTTTCATGTTAAATGGCTTGTCCTGAATACTGTAACTACTAAGCAGAGACCATTCACTCTTTCCACTGTTGCTATGTATAAGGCTAAGCTCTGGGAATGTACCATGAACAAGAAAAACACTGTTCATGCTTTCATGGAGCTTATCTTCTGGTGGGGAAGACAGAAACACACAAATGAAAGCAAAATAGAAAGGAAGACAAAATAATTGTAAGTTGTGAGCAGTGATGTGGTGGAGAAAACAAGACCAATCCATCTCTAGAAAATCACAGAACATTCTAGAATAGAGCTCGGATTTGGAACCCGGGGAATCATCAAACATTTCTTGTGCAAATTATTTTCCTCTGACAATCATCTTTGGCTTTTGAACTTGCTGTGGAGAGCAGAGGTAGAAGATACAATAAAGCAATGGGAGAAGATTCTTAGATAATGAGACTTGAAGGCTGTTCATTATCTTTGTGATAATGTATTCATTTCCCATTCTAGTTTGTTTAAAACCCATCAAACAAGTGCTGAATGCTTGTTTGGTCTTGGCTACCAAGTATGAGGATCTTTAAGACTGTATACCAAATATGCTGGGGTAAATAATGACTAGATCAGCCTGATTAAATGGGCACTTCATGCTGAGGAGAAGTGAAATTCCAGGTTAGATAAGCAAGATTAGATTATGGTTGATAAGTATTACTTTAATGTGTGTGTTTGTGGTACTGGGGACTGAACCCAGTGCTGTACCAGTGAGCTACATCCCCGGTCATTTTTAAAATTTTTTATTTTGAGACAGGTTCTTGCTAAGTTGCTGAGGCTGACCTGGAACTTGTGATCCTTCTGCCTCAGCCTCCTGAGTCCCTGGGATTACAGGTATATGTCTCTACTCCCAGCCCAGATTACTTTAATGTATTAAGTGAATAAATATGGTACTTTGAAAGCAACAAGGTATTTGGCCTTTATCCTAACTGTATTGTAAGGTGATTCAAAGAGCCTCAGCTATGGAGTCAGATTGATGTAGAGGTCACTTCTTAGCCAGATGAACTCTGGCAATTTTCTTTGCTTAACTGAGCTTTGATTTCCTTATCTGTAAAATGGTGGCGTTTTAAAAGTTAGAGGTAATGAGCCCAAAGTGACTCTCAGTTGGTAGACACTCCATTGAGTTGCTATTATTGGATAATGGTGAGCCATGGAATGTTTTTTGGGGACAGGATAGATAATATAGTTTATACTATACCACTATACATGGTTTAAAAGCCTTTATGTGTATCTTAATTTTCATATTCTTGGCGATAGATATTATCCTCATTTTATACTCAAGGAAACTGAGGCTCAGAGAGATTATATAATTGAGTCAAGTGGTACATGGACTTGAGTCAGTGCACTTACAAAGGTGGAGTTTGAAGCCAGGGAGTCTGACTACAGAATCTATGCACTTCACCTCTGTCCTAGATTATGAAAACTTTATGAAGATTCATTTAGTAAATCTAAAGGTTTTAGATTTTTCAGTAAGCAAGAGAAAGAAACCTTCAATTTAACATTATCATCCTTGTTTAGTAATTAGTGAGTGACAAAAGAGTAGTCTTTGTTAGGCATAATAAAACTAGCTGGGCACATGCCTGTAATCCCAGTGTCTTGGGAGGCTGAGGCAGGAAGATCACAAATTTGAGGCCAGCCTGGGCAATTTAGCAAGATCCTGTCTCAGAATAAAAAGGGATGTAGCTCAGAGGTAAAGTGCCCCTGGATTTAATCCCCAGTAACAATACACAAAAACAAAAACCCCACCCCTGTCTTCCTTCCTGGTCTAACAGTCTTAAAAATGTTTCTTAACTTAGAAGAATACGACCTGTATGATCCTTTATTTAGGTTAAATGTAAAAAAAAAAAAAAGAAAAAGAATATACGAATCAGATAATCTTAAGCTTCAAGTTCACAAAGGAATCAAATTTTCTTAAGACTTTACTACTTACTCTGTTAACCATTTCAGATATATTGCTTGTTTATTGGATGCCATTTACTCTCTCCCACAAATTCACCTTATTTTGATTTGGGGACAAATGGGAAGACAGTGATTTTCTTAACAGCCCAGTGGATTCCTATCTTCCTTTTGGTTCAGAGTATGGAGACTAAAAACTATTAACAAGTTCAGTCATTTATTATTTTATTTTTAATTAGCTCTAATGCAATTAAACCAAAACAAAGAAACTGAGAGTTTACCCCCGATATTCCCTACCATCCCAATCAACACATAGTAGTCCTGTCTTTCTTTGGGAAAATGCTTTGGGGTAGAAGGCAACAAACCAAACAGCAGGCAAATAACATCAGCTCTTTTCTGTTTCTTCACCCGGATAGGTAGGGAGAGGGAGCAAGAACCCCCATCAAAGAGAACAAATGCTTAAGTATGCCATTCTAAAAAGCCCTTGTTTTTTCACATGCCCACCCCCTGAGCTCTGCAGTAATTCTTCAGAGATTGTATAGTCTCTGCTTTAAATATAAATATATATATAAAACTTCCCCCTGTCTCCTTCCTCTCCTCCTCTCTCTCTCTTTTTTTTTTTAATTTCCTATAATAAAGTTTCCTATTGGATAAGGTCAGCTCTCTGATTTATGCTTGACTCCTATTGGAAGCTTGCAGGGGCTGACATCACTTAGGAAAGCGAGGGGGTAGGGCTGCCAGATCAGTTTGTCACCACCCAGGCTCCCTTGCCTTTGGCTGGGTGCAACTTCCATTTTAGGTGTTGGATCTGAGGGGGGAAAAAAAGAGAGAGAGGGAGAGAGAGAGTGAGAGTGAGAGAGAGAGAGAGAGAGAGAGAGAGAGAGAGAGAAGCAGAAAAGATCCTGAAAGGAGGAAGAGGTGGTGAAGATCAGCTGCTTTGCTGGATTTGTCTTTCTCAGCACATTGGCGAAGCCTTGGGTTTCTTTCTCAAAGGACTGGTTTTTAGAAGTCCACATTTGAGGTGTGTGCTTTTTTTTTTAAAGAAAAAAATGTGTGTACAGCCGGGCAAAGGAGGATAAGCCAAGTCGAATTTTTGTCTGACGGTAACTAGAGGGAATTTAAAAACGGAGAGTCTGTTATGCTGATGGGTGACTTTTAAGCAATTGTTTTTTCCTTCTACTTTCAATACTTTGAGGGATTTTGATATTTTATTATATTAAAAAGGTAAAATATTACAAGACCTGGAAACAAACTTCTAGATCTAATACTGGGAACTGAATGGAATCAGGGGGGTAAGAGAAGTTGTATGAATTTACATTTTGGTGTGTTCTTTGATTTTATATTTTTTCTGAATTAAGCTAACATATTTCTGTTTTCAGAGCCCAAATCAAAAGTTGGTTTTTTGGCTTGTTGTGTGTGGGTTGGGAAAGGAATTTGTCCGGGTCGGAAGCTAGTTATACAGATGGTTCTTCATATGTTTCAAACTTTTTCTTTTTTCCTTTTACCATTGGACTTGTGGAAATGGAAAGTTGCAGGGAGCTTTGCAGCTTAAATGGTATTGTTTTTTTCCCCCATAGAGAGTTTGAACGGCCCAGATCGGTTTCAGCCCTGCTGTTCCTGGGTGGATCCCTCTTACTTTTCCAGGTGTGGTGGGTGGGAGCCTCACTCGCCTGCTAGATGTAGCCTCCCAGCTTTGCTTTATAAAAGAAAACAAATGGATCTATGTTAACTGAATTGACAGATCCTTCTCCTCCTAAAACCTTTGATGGCAAAGATTTCTGGAGGTTGTTATGTTAAATCTGTAATAGGGTAACACTTGGTATGTACTTAAAAGGGTAGAAGTTCTAATCATGCTTTTTATTTCACTTGAGTATAGTGGCAATACACCTGAAAAAATTTCAGCTTTGTGGTCTCTGAAAGGTCCATAGGTTGAATAAGGTGAGCTAAGAGAAACCATTTACACAAACTTTGGTGTTTAAAATGCATTTGAGAAAGAAAAAGGAGAGTTTTTATTTTTAAGTCAACTGGAAAGTTATTTTTTGGAGGTGAGTTTGTTTGGTTAATTTACCTTTAAGTCGGAAGTCTGTTAGAACTGAAGGGCATGACTGTGCTTTCGTATCTTAAACCTTAAGATTTGTTTGGTTTTGTTTTTGCACATATATTTTTGTAAAAGTACTGATTCCAGATAATCATATAGCCAACTCATCAGTAGCTGAAAGCTAGGGTGTTCTCTTCCTCTTTTTGAAATGCGAATCAGTCCGAAAATTATAGCTGATACTGCCCTAATTGTAACAAGATGGGCCTTAATATATAAGCTGCTCATTAGCTTTAAACTGGTATGTATCTTTAATATTCCTCTGATTTCCTACCGCCCCCCTCCACCCATTCTTTTCAGACTAGAACACTTCCTTGAATTTCCTTTCTAGAATGAGAACATTTCTTGAAAGATGATTTCATCCTTGTGAGGTTGTGGCTTCAGGAGGAGACAGAACTTTGTTCTTCCTCTCAATATAAACTAGGTAAGGGTTACATAAAAATTCTGATGTCTGGGTCTCATAACAAGTAAATTAAAAATAAAAAGTGTGTACAGTCTGTTCGGCATAGTTCTTGTTTAATATTTTTCTGATTTTCTTTCAAATGTGCTCTCTACCTTAACTCCATACTGGGGAGGTTTCATTGGAGGGTTGGTTATGTTGCTGCTGGACTGTCGGAGTGTTGGTTTCCCACTCAACCTTTAGGGGGGAGGGATGAGAGAATCTGAAGGAAGAGTACAAAGGCAGTTTGAAAATAGGTTCTGGATGACTGAGTGATGGTGATTTGGGTCCGGCTTTAAATACTGAGCTTTGTGTAGCTGCAGTGAACATTGCAGTTAACTAGGGTCTAGGACTGTTTCTATGAACTAAGGCATTGTTTTGATTTGTGTGTAGTATTAGAGCCTTTGGGGTGATAAGATGGAAGATTTGTCTTTTACCTCACAACTGGTTGTTGTTGTTTTCCGAGGAATTATAGTAAAAGGTACAGATAAGAAAATCTTTTATTTTGTAATTTTTTTGTTTTTTTCTTTATTTTGATTTCGGGGTAAAAATGATGATCACTGTGAGTTGTACAGATTTTTCTTTCCTTGTTTGTCTCCTATATAATACTGTTGGTTTCTTTGTTATGTGAGTAAGGTAGTGATCCATGTTCCAGGTGGGGTCTCTTTTGGGTGTTTTAGAGTTCTAGTACCTTTCTTAGGATTCCAGCATGGACAGAGTGACTAGAATATGTTCTGCCAGCTAGTATAAAATTGAGGTTATTTGAGATCTTAAAAAAAGAAAAGCTCCCAATAATTACAATGGAGCCTTTGGTTTGTGAAGTAGTTGCTCTCCAGGGTTGGGTGAGATAAGATTAATGCAAATAAATTAAGCATAGATCACTATCTGTTGATAAAATGATTAGCTCTGTATAATTTTTGCTTTCTATTTTGGTGCATGATAGTCCTCTGTTAGTAACTGCCAGGTTCTCTTGCCTTTCCCCTCATTGTTTTTTATGGTGTGCTAATCATTTTGCACAAACTATTACTTAATTCCAACAAAAACCTTTTTTTTTTTTATTAAAAAAAAAAAAAAGGAATCCCAAACCTAGAAGCACAATTTTGCTGAAAATCTTTACTGCCTGTAAGTGGTGGAGGCCAGGATTAACCCTGGTCTGACTTGACTACAAAGTCCAATGACTTAACCACTAATACACTGCCATTCTTCAGAGAGAATGGAAATAACAGAACTCAAATGAACTTACAAGAGGCAGGAGTGTTTCATTTTATGTAGGATCAGTAGTCACTCAGATTTCCAACCTTCTCCCATTTCCTTCAGCACCCATGTTGGGATAATATAATGTATGTATGTAAAAGATCCGTTTTCCTTAGAGCCCTGGGGAGCTGAATATGCTAGAATGGATATTATTTTTAGAACAGGGATCTTTCCATTTGTGTGCCATTGCTGTCCCTTTTTTTTCCTCCTTTTTCTTGGTACTGGGGATTAAACTCAGAGTCACTCAACCACTGAGCCACATCCCCAGCCCTATTTTGTATTTTATTTAGAGACAGAGTCTCACTGAGTTACTTGGTTTCTTGCTATTGCTGAGGCTGGCTTGAATTTATGATTCTCCTGCCTCAGCCTCTCGAGCTGCTGGGATTATAGGCGGGCGAGCCTGGCTCTTTTTGAGACAGTTTCCTTATATTTCCCAGAGTGGCCTTGAATTGGCCATCCTTTTGCCTTAGCCTAACCTAGTGGCTGGGATTACAGGTGTGTGCCACTGTGCCTGGTTCTAATTCCTTTAAATTCCTACAGTTGTCTCAAACTGTATTTGATTATCAGTGAAGTTTTATTTTCCCAGAGAATTTTCAGGTATTTGGTTTAGAATGATATCATCTTGCAGGGAGAGGTAGTTCAAATACCATAGTAATCATACTATATTAAAATTCTCTCTCTTTTTTGTCTTTTTTACCTCTAGACTAAGCTGCTTGGGTATAGGTACTATCTTCCTACCTCTGAATCCTTTAGTATCTATCTTAGTATCTGTACATACTAAGGTGCTTCGAAAGCCTTGGTTAAATAAGGTACTTGATTGTAATCATTGAGGGATATTTATTTAGCAATACTAGGGATTAAACCCAGGGATGCTCTACCACTGAGCTACAGCCCCAACCTTTTTTTATGTTGAGACAGGGTCTCACTAAATTGTTGAGGCTAGCCTTGAATTTGTGGTCCTCATATTTCAGCCTTCCATGTTAGGATTACAGGCCTGATCCACCACCTAGCTAGTGAGGAACTTTTGTGGGGAAGGCTTGAAAGGAAGTTGAGATAAGAAGCAAAACAACATAAATTAATAATATTTCCATGTGGTTTTGAAACTTTTACTTTCATTTTTAAGCAAAGTTTCTGGAAATAATAGTAAGGATTTTAACTTTACTCCTGTTTCCTTTCCTGCAAGCAGCCCAAGAAAGGTGTGTGTAAAAAGTAAGGTGTGTAAAAAGCAAGGGACCTAGGTCATTCATTTCAGAAGCTGTTAGTTTCACCCCTGAAAATCTAAAATGTAGCCTTTTTTTTTAGGGAAGAACACATTAGGGCAGCAGTAAGGAAGTACTGCTTTCAGCCCTGGTTGGAAAGAGTGTTTTTCTACCTGTTAATAAAAACACAAAGAGTGTGGAAGGATAGTTTTGACCATCAGTGCTTCAGAGAAATCATGTTTGGTGTCTTTTTTTTTTGGTGGGGGTAGGGGGTGGGGGGGGTGAGGGGGTGAGGCGCGGGGTAGGCCTGGAGATTGAGCACAGGGCCTTGTGCATGCTGGTAAGCACTCCACCATTGAGCTACATCCATAGCCCCTGATATCATTTGTGCTGTTTTTTTGGTTTTGGGTACCAGGGATTGAACTCAGGAGCACTCAACCACTGAGTCACATCCCCAGCCCTATTTTGTGTTTTATTTAGAGACAGGGTCTCACTGAGTTGCTTAGCGCCTTGTCATTGCTGAGGCTGGCTTTGAACTCGCAATCTTCCTGTCTCAGCCTCCTGTGCTGTGTGCACCACCATGCCCAGCTTATCATTGTGGTTTTTATCACTGCTTCAGTCATGGATTTTTAGGAGATTTTGTTCGTTAAGTGTATTGGAAAGTTTATGAGTTTAAGAACCAAAATTAGTTTTCATGGGTAGTTTAGAATCCTGATAGTAACAGGAAACTTGCCTAAAGGAATGAACTGTAGGTAATCAGGAAAGAAATAACTAAAAATATTTTTTCATGTTCCTTTCCCTCAGAGAAAGAGGTTAAAATCAGACAATGCTGAAATAGGGATTGCTTTGCCTAAAAAATGCAGCTACCTGCAATGCTTCCAATAGAGCACTGATATATCGTGGCAGGATGATTGTAGGAGGCAAGAACAACTCTTCTGGATAGGAGTGAAAAGGGGGAAGTTAGTGTGTTATTGTTTTGTGTTTAGTCATATATATTTTTTGGAAGTATTCTCCATAATTTACTGGGAATTTCA